CGTATTTTGACCATGGTTGCCATAGTGTCAGTTGTGGATGTGGTGGCCTCATTTCTCTGAGGGTTCTGGTGGTCTTGGTGATTGTGGTGGCCACAGTGATGAGAGTGACATTGGTGCCATGGTGGCCATGGTTGCCGGAGTGACCACAGTGACCTCGGAGACCACAGTGGCCTCGTGGCTCAGAGAATTCCAGTGGCCATTGCCAGGGCCGTGGTGGCCAGGAGGAGTCCTCCAAGTTGGAAGGAAGCCCTGGGGACGCTCCCACCTGGGGGACAAAGAGAGGCATGAGGGGGATCATGGGAGGAGTGGGGGCATCAGTTACGGCCATAATGGCAGGTTAGGGGTGGCAGGAGAGGTGACATGAGGTGACAGGCGACATGGTGTCAGTCAGGGCACAGGGAGTACAGGCACCAGGGAGGCCAGGGGGGTCTTGGGGTGCTTAGGGGTGACAGGGGTCAGGGGTAGTCAGGGGATGACATGGGGGGTGACAGGGAGTGACAGGGGTTCAGGGAGTGACATGGGGCTTCCCAGCCCACCCACATCCAGCACACAGGGCCCATCCCCACAGCGCTGCCTTTGGTGGGGAGGGACGGGATTGGAATGGGGGCATCCCTGTCTTTGTCCCTGTCCCTGTCCCTGTCCCCTCTCAGATGTGGGGGTCCCCATCCCAGTGCCCTGTCATGGGTGTTCCTGTATCCATGCCCACAATGGATGTCCCCAAACTTTGTGTCCCCAGCATGGGGTGTCCCTGTCCCCACACTCTCAGTGAGTATCCCCACCCTCTGTGCCCTGTCATGGGTGTGCCATGTCCACTGTTGGTGTCCCCAAGGCCACAGTGGGTGTCCCCATCACCCCAGGCTGTCACCTTGCAGCCACTCGCAGTTGTAGTTGCTGAAGGTCCCGGTGGAGCGCAGCTCGATCCTCGCCCTGCCTCCTTTCTGACTGACTTCGATGACCTCGAAGGTCTCAAAGGGTGGGATCAGCACCTCCTTCTCACCAGGATAATTGGAGAATTCCTGAATTTCCACACCGTGGCACGTGTGCACCTGGAACACCGTGGCATCCCCAAACATCTCAGCAGTTTCTTCACTCTGTGATGCCGACGAGAACTGACCGAATCGGACAACGTCACCACGCTTTGCCTTGAACCGGTACTTGCGCACCCCCCGGTACACCTTGGGACACCCCAATCTCTGAGTGTCCCTCAGCGTCACCAGGGCCTGGGTCAGCAGGAAATGCAGCGTTTTGAAGTGGAAGTTGTCCCGGTATTCCTGGCGGGAGCGCCCAGCCGTGCGCACGGCCACGTTGAACTGTTCGTACAGACATCCCCCACCCCCCGGTACACATCTGGACACTCATTAGGGTGTCTCAGCTTCTGGAGGGCCTGGGTCAGCAGGAAATGCAGCGTTTTGAAGTGGAAGTTGTCCCGGTATTCCTGGCGGGAGCGCCCAGCCGTGCGCACGGCCACGTTGAACTGTTCGTACAGGTCATTCATCGTGTAGGCCATGAGGGCGATGGCCTGGGCTGGGGACGACAGGGGGGACAGAGGGGACCCCCGACTCTGCCACTCGGCTATGGCCTTAGGCCAGGCCTGGGCAAAGAGAGGGTTCTGCTGGAACTCGAAGCTGTTGAGGGCCGGCAACGCCGCGGTCATGGCAGGGCCACAGCCCCAGTACTGGTCATCGAAAGAGTCCTGGGCCATGTCCAGGGGGATCACCTCGATGGCTGTGGTGGCCACGGTCATTGCCAGCAGTGCCAGGGTCTGAGCCAGGGGGGCCATGGAGAGGAGAGGCCACAGGGAGCAGGGTGGGACACTGGGGGACACAGAGGGGACACAGAGGAGACACGAGGAGGGTTCCTCAGTGAGGGACTGGACAGGGGAGGGGGGTCATCCCAGGAGGAAGGGAGGCACTCCTGCCCAGCAGACCCCTGGGCATGTCTGGGGTCCCTGACCCCAAATCCTGGGGTTATTATGCCTCCCCAAAATCCCCCAGCCCCCCAGGGACCCCAATGCCAATCCCACAGTATCATAGCCCCCCCAGAAGCCCAATCCTACTCCCATGACTACAAGTCCTCTCAGCCCTGCCAGAATCCCAACCCAAATCCTGGGGTCACTCCCTGAGCCCCCCAGTGTCCTCCTCAGCCAGTCCCCAGACACCAATCCCACTCTCACCATCCCGTGCCCCGCCTCTTTTTCCCCCAGAGCACCCCATGACCTCAATCACAGCCTTGTGGCTCCCCCAGTGTCACCGCCACGTCCGCAATCCCACAGTCCCATGTCCCCCTCAAGTGTCCCCTGGGGTCCCCCCAGCCCCAATACCAAAATCGGCCAGAGTGAACTTCCTGACGGAACTGGAGGTACCACAAAGCTGGAATTCTTTACCAGCTTGGACTCACAGCAGATCTCTCCTGGTCCTGCAGCTCAGGGGGGACTTTGCCATGGGGTATTTATCCACCACAATTATAAATATTCATTAAAATCTGTCCCTTACCAAGCAAAGAAACTTCACTTTTCCTAGAAATAAGTTGCATGGCTCCGCCTCTTTCTGAAAATCCTTTTATGGTCCTCGAGTGTTCTAAAAATGAGGTTTCTCAGCGTGATTTTCACAGAGTGCCCCAATATCCCTGATGACCTCGCTTCAAACTTTTATTTTGGGCAGGCTCTGCTCCTTCTGTGGTCCAGAACCTGTCAAAAAGACCCTCAGTGGAGTTCCCTTTTTCTGTTCCTCCGCGGGTTCTAGCCCTGCTGTGTCCACACTTTTACATCCTTCCGTGGTTTTTTGCTAGTTCATCCTTATGCCCTATCCAGCAAATTCAGGGGAACTGAAACTTTCTGTTCTCTGTCTTATTGCTCGCCCCCCCAGAACCCCAATCCCACGGTCCCCCCCAGTGCCCCCCAGTCTTACTCCCAGCTGCTCACTGAGCACGACCATCACCCTGACAGAAAGGGGGGCCAAGTTGTGTTCTGTGGTGTGGGAACTCATCACTCTGAATGTCCAGAGTCACTGAGAGAACCCTTGGGGGGGGCTCGGAGACCTTGGAATGTTGCCAAAAGTGTCTGGTGGCTTGACTTTGATCCATCTAGAGATGAAACATCTGTGCATGAGGAAATGAGAAGTTCTAGGGTGTGAATAGTGTATTTACAGGATGAAGTATAGATTTTAGAAATTAGGTACCGGGGGGTCATGAATACAAGATGGAGGATTCGGGGCGTGGTCGTGGGTTCTTTTTTCTTCTTCATGTCTTCCATTTTGTGTGATGATGTTGGCACTTTTGGGTTGGCTCATGGTGAAGGTACACTTGTCCACATGGGTGAAAAGTATTGGGAATTAAAGGTAAATATGATATATGTAATTTTCACTATAAAAGACACAACTGTCCCGTGGGCGGGGGAGAGTGCACTTGGCTCTCCTGCTGAACAGACCTCGGCTGGGCAGAGAGAAAAATATCGTAGATAAGAATTAATAAACAAGATTGAAGGCCGGAAAACCTGAGAGTCCAGACTCGTCCTTCGAAATCGCGGCCACCCAGAACCACTTTTCCCTTATTGGGGCAGAGACAAATAACAGCGAACCTCGACACCTGGCGTTCCTGGGTGGGCACTGAGGTGGCCCCAGGTGGGCTCCAAAGAGGCGAGCAAGAAGCGGTGAGCTGCAAAGAGAACACTCAAGTGGGCAGTTCCCGAAATTGGACGCGTTCCCAGGAGACCGCTGATAACTCCTTGGGAAAGCAGCCAGAAAGGTCGGAAGAAGCATTATTGGATAAACAACCTCCAGCGACGTTTCAAAGCAACAAAACACAGGAGAAGCAAATCAGATAATTATTGTTTTCATTTTCCTCTGAGGCTTCTCAGCTTGCCAGGGGAAAATCATGGACAAACAGATTTTCCAGAAAATATTACGGCGACAGGTCTGTGTATTAGTACTTGTCTAGAACAACTCCCAAAGCTACAGAAAAGTCTATCTAGCAAGATATTAGGAAGTTCTAAGCTTAATAACTGAGCTCTGTGCATTGTATTTTAATGCTTACAAGCAGGTATTGTATTTGAAATAAACTACTAATGAAAAACTCATGACTTCTTCCAGAGTCCCGACACAGCCTGACCGTGATTGGTCATTAAGCCAAAACAATTCACACATTGTTGGATAAACAACCTCCAGCGACGTTTCAAAGCAACAAAACACAGGAGAAGCAAATCAGATAATTACTGTTTTCATTTTCCTCTGAGGCTTCTCAGCTTGCCAGGAGAAAATCATGGACAAAGAGATTTCCCAGAAAATATGACGGCGACAGGTCTGTGTATTAGTACTTGTCTAGAACACTCCCAAAGCTACAGAAAAGTCTATCTAGCAAGATATTAGGAAGTTCTAAGCTTAATAACTGAGCTCTGTGCATTGTATTTTAATGCTTACAAGCAGGTATTGTATTTGAAATAAACAAGCATTGCTTTAACATGTTTTAAGGTACATGGGCTTATAGCGGTTGGATGGAACTGCTGTAAATATGCTTTTGCTTTGTATGATTGGTCAAAAAACTCTTAAAGTGAGTTGTAACAATGAATTCTTCAGCTTCTGCCTGAGATGTGAGCTGCTGGCATCGTCCCATTGCCATAACCATGAGACTGATGCTGGGAAATAAAGCAGCTCGAGACGTGTTCCTCAGCAGTCCCGTCCCGTTCATGATTTTGGACAGAGATGTGGCAGTTTGTGGGGTCCCTGGACAGAGGAGGCATGATTGAATCTGACTCTGTGTTCTTAGGAGGTTAAAATAATATAATATAATATAATATAATATAATATAATATAATATAATATAATATAATATAATATAATATAATATAATATCCCGACACAGCCTGACCGTGATTGGTCATTAAGCCAAAACAATTCACACATTATTGGATAAACAACCTCCAGCGACGTTTCAAAGCAACAAAACACAGGAGAAGCAAATCAGATAATTACTGTTTTCATTTTCCTCTGAGGCTTCTCAGCTTGCCAGGAGAAAATCATGGACAAAGAGATTTCCCAGAAAATATGACGGCGACAGGTCTGTGTATTAGTACTTGTCTAGAACACTCCCAAAGCTACAGAAAAGTCTATCTAGCAAGATATTAGGAAGTTCTAAGCTTAATAACAGAGCTCTGTGCATTGTATTTTAATGCTTACAAGCAGGTATTGTATTTGAAATAAACAAGCATTTTTTTAACTGAAGGTACATGTGCTGATAGCAGTTGGATAGAACTACTGTAAATATGCTTTTGCTTTGTATGATTGGTCAAAAAACTTTTAAAGTGAGTTGTAACAATGAATTCTTCGGCTGCTGCCTGGGACGTGAGCTGCTGGCATCTTCCCATTGTCATAACCATGAGAGTGATGCTGGGAAATAAAGCAGCTCGAGACGTGTTCCTCAGCAGTCCCGTCCCGTTCATGATTTTGGACAGAGATGTGGCAGTTTGTGGGGTCCCTGGACAGAGGAGGCATGATTGAATCTGACTCTGTGTTCTTAGGAGGTTAAAATAATATAATATAATATAATATAATATAATATAATATAATATAATATAATATAATATAATATAATATAATAAAACAATTCACACGAGACTAATCAATCAACGACCACTTGGTAAACGATCTCCAGACCACATTCCAAAGCAGCAAAAACAGAAGAAGCAATCAGGGAATTACTGTTTTCTTTTCTTCCGAGGCTTCTCAGCTTCCCAGGAGAAGAAATCCTAGCGAAGAGATTTTTCAAAAAATTTAGTAGAAACACGTAGACGCTTGGCTGGCAATATTGGGGGAGAACAGAATAAATCTTGGCTCCGTTTGGTCGGGGTGATGGTCACAGCCCTGCTGAAGTGACGGTCGCCATCTCATTGAAGTTCTGCTCCTCCTCCAGATCTCTAAAGGTGCTGGTGGTGGTGTCCTAAATCCTCAAACCCAAAGTTTATACGGGCTCAGGTTTGTCGCATTCATTTTTTTCTGAAAAATCCCTTTGCCCAGGGTTTTTCTGCTGGGGAGATGAGAACCCTCAGAGAAAAAGGAAATCAATAATTATCTCGTTTGCTTCTCCTCTGTTTTGCTCCTTTGGGGTGTGGTTGGGGATTGTTTATCAGCAGGTGATCGTTCCATTGGTTTCTGCTGTGAGATGTTTTGACTCAGTGGCCAATTAGGGCCAAGCTGTGTTGGCACTCTGGAAAAAAATAATGAGTTTTCATTATTATCTTTTTAGCATTTGGTACGTATCCTTTCTGTATTCTGTAGTATAGTATAGTATTCTTTAATATATTAAATAATATAATTATTATTATTATATTAAATAATATAATCATATATTGTCGTAAAATAATAAATTAGCCATCTGAGAACATGGAGTCAGCTTCGTCATTCCTTCCTTTGCCTGGGAACACTGCAAATACAAAGTGGGTGGGAATGCTGAGTCCCTCCTCCATGGCAGGGAGTTTTACGGTGGAATGATGCAATCCTGTCAGTCTTGGGGTGTTTTGGGAGTGCCTGGCGGTCTCAGTCCTTGCAGCTGCTGTGAAAAACACGTTCATTGTCCTGTGAAAATTAAAAAAAAAAAGTTTAATAAAGGAAAATAGGACACAAAGTGAAGCAATAGCCAAGAGCACACCTTTACCTTCAGGGATACCCCTTAAATCCCTCTTCCATGACATCATCCTGTTTATTATGCGTAAGGGGCATATTCATAGCCCCTTACGCATAATAAACTTTTCTCCAAACTCGTTTACATATCCCAATAATTGTTTAGCACGGCTCCTCCTTGGGTCTGGCATTTTAGAGCATGTGCATTCCTTGGTTGTGGTTTTAGTCCTTTTTTTATCATCACCTTCAGTTTTGGGCCTTGTGAAAAATGTGTATTTTATTGATTGGTTTTTTGAAAATATTAAAATAAATATTATATGTGTTATGTTAGAAAGTTATGTTGTATTAATTTTCTCAAGCAGTGTGTTAAATATAGTTTTAAGTTATAACATAATGTTAAAATAGAAACTGTGCTATGTAAGATACTTCTTTTAAAGAGAGGACTCACATGGAGACAGCAGCCACAGGACACCTAAAACTTTCAGAGAAAAATAATTTATTGCTCTCTTATCGAGTTCTTCCCACCTCGCTCAGCCCTGCAGACACCATCAGGATTCAGAGGAAATTGTTGACAGTGACCAGCCAGAATCCTTTGTTTGAATGGAATTCAGGCATCATGTATGAGATGTATGAATATGCAACAGGCTGTTGCTTTTAAGGGTTAATCCTCTGTTAATGTGTGTCCTTTTTCGGGCTTATTTTGCCCAGAAAAAGGTACCTGGATTGTCATTAACTCTTTGTTTTTATTGTCTCATATTGTCCTAATCTCAGTTGTCCAAATTTTTATTACTCTAATTACATTGCTATTTTTATAACCATTTTATTACTATTAAACTTTTAAAATTCTAAAAATAAGTGATTGATGTTTTTCACAGGCCCTGACCCACAATGCCTTCAGTGAGTGCTGATTTTTGGCACATCTGTAGCAGGTGTGCTCATCTTGTATTAATTTGGTGTTATCTGTGAAAAACGCCATTCAGTTTTGTCAAAATTTTAGACATTTAATAGTAATCAAAATAGTAATAAAAATTGGGACAATAAAAATTGGGACGACAGGAGACGACTTAAAAGATAACTTAAAAGAGATGAATACAGCGCTAATTAAAAGACATTAATACAGACTAATTAAAAGACAATAAAATAATAAGTAATAATAATAATAAAAATAATTAATTATTTAAAATAATTATTTTAAATAATTAATTTATAATAATAAAATAATTAATAATAATAATAACTTTCCAACATAACACATATAGCATTCATTTTAATCTATGCAAAGAGCCAGTCATATAATATATGCATATAATAATATAATCATGTTATATTATATATACATAATCAATCAAATAATAATGCATTTTTCACATTATCACATCCAAGCAGGCATTTTAACACAAACTTACTTATATCAGCTATTTCACCAAGCTAAATTAACAACAGAAATAGAAACTATATCGCAACGTTCATTTATATAAATATATAAATATATATAAATATTTATACAAAGGACATTACAGACGGTTCTCACTCAAAATCAGCTCTCTTCTCTGCATTACCCACCATGTGGAACCAGCAGCAAAAGAAATCCCACTGTGAAAAATGACCAGATAATTTTGGCTTTTCGCATTTATGTACTTGCCTGTGCACGTTGGTAGCGGTTATAAGTATTTAGAAATAGTATAATTATAACTATTTTTAGCTGCTTGTTAATATGATGTAATCTATCAGGTTAAGTGTGCACTTTTTCATAGAAATAGCAGTGTGATGAATAAAATGTCTACGTATTTTTTATGGAAATAACAGTGGGATGAATGTACTGTTTAATAGACCTTGGCAAAACATAAGATGTGAAAAAATAAAAAAAAAAAAAGGGTTTTTGTGTAACTAAAAACAGTGTAAGGCCATCCACTGACAAACCCGTCCAAGTGATAAGATAACCGTGACACAAACCAGAGCCCCGGAGGACAATTAGAGAACGCCGTGTTAAAATTAATCAGGACGTACGAAATCCTTATCAGAGGACGTGAAACAGCAGGATGGAGACGCAAGAAAAAATCAAATATATCGACCTGACACCCAGAATTTCATGTAGATAAGCTGGGAACGTGAAGAAGTCAGAAAAAGGAGTTCCCAAAACATCAGAAATTTGGCAATAATGTTTGAATAATGCATGAATCATGAATATTCATGTGTGAAAAATGCACATTATATGATTGGCTCTTCGCAAATATTAAAATTAATGCTATATGTGTGTTGTTGGAAAGTTGTGCTCTATTAATCTCTTTTAAGCAGTGCTGAGTTAATCTCTTTTAGGTAGTGTGGTGAATATAGTTTTTAGGCTATTGCATAATACTAAAATAAAAACAATGTGATGTAAGGTGCTTTTTGTAAGGATATTTTCCTTAGCTCAAGGAACGGACGAGATAATCGAGAAATTATTTGTACAGAGATAACAGCAAACAGACACCAAGATCTCAAGAGAAGAATTATTGCCTCTTTATCGGGAAAACACAGATTTCGAGGAACCAAAAAGATTGATTTACAGGATGAGGAGGGGAAGCTGAAATTTAGCAGAAACTCCCTGGTTTGAAAGGAATGCCTGAATCATGTATGAGGTATATGAATATATTGCTTTTAAGGGTTAATCCTTCGTTAGCCAAGTGTGCTTTGTGGCAGAGAGCAAAAGTGCCCAACATCTGTAATTCTTTGCTTTTTATTGCCTTTTATTGTCCTAACTTTGGTTGTCCAAATTCTTATTGTCCTGATTTTTATTCATATTTTTATTAATATTTTCATTGCTGTTAAACGTCTAAAATTTTAACGCAAGCGAACGGCGTTTTTCACACACGTATCTCAGCAATGTAACAGCATAAAGATAACACTTTATAAGATATATATTATTTATAAGATAACACAGTATAAAGATGTACTCAGGTGTGTTCTTTATCTGTTGGCCAGGAGCACCCCAGCGCTGAAAATACTCTTTTTTTTTTTTATCCTATTACTATTACTGTCATTATTTTTATTATTAAACTTTTAAAAACTCTGTGGTTGTACCAGTTGTCAGGGTCTGGATTGAAGGCACTTGAGTTGGTATTTCACATTTGGACTCAAGTGTTTATTTTTATCAGTAAAACAGTCTCACAACCACGAGTCCGGCAGCTTTTCATTAGAAGGCACAAAACGGCCAACAATCTCTTGTTCCAAGGACTTTGAAGACTAAACTATCCAATTAAGAATTAATTATTTCCCCTTTTAACCCAATAACCCAAAGAGCCCTCAATGCGGACTTTTCTGCCCAATTACAAAATGCCACCCAAACCCATGAAGAAGGAGGAAGAAGCAGCATGAAGAAGAAATCCAGGATGACACCCTGTGCCCTCCGCTTCCATCCACAACGCACTAAAAATCCCAAAACCTAAATTTCTCACCAAGTGATACACTACTCTCTATAATCTATTTCACACTTTTGTGGATTCTGGCCTATCTTGAAGTCTAGGGAACTTTCTCCAGGAGTGAGGGTCAAAGCCAGTGCTCCCCTGGGAGCCAGAGCACCCCAGAGCAGACAGAGAAATATTCCCTGTGCCCTGGGCTTCCACAAAACCCTAATTCTGTTTTTCACACCGCGGATGCGTTTGCCTTTCCCCGAGGTGGGACTGATCCAAGCTGCCCTTATCTCATACGAGATAAGGTGGAGGTGCACCACAGGTGACACCACAGGGACCCTCTCAGGGCTAAACGGGCACCCAGCTCCTGTCACCATGACTTGGGTTGGAAATGGGGGTGTGTATTCTGTTCCTGCCTGTCAGAGGTGGGGCAGCCATCTTCTGTTCATTGGGCAGTTTTCTTTTTCTCTTCCACAAAGCAGTCCTCCCTCCAGGAGATCTTCTCTGTTCATGGGCCATTAATTAATAATTATTAATTATCTTCTGTTCATGGGCCAGTGGGTGTCCCTGCATGGCTGATAAAATTCCATCATCCCACTGGGAAGTGCTGCACCCAGGGAAAGGAGCCAAGCATTCCTACCTGGATAGAAACTGACCCTGGGTATTTTTATTTTTATTTTCTTGCCTGATAAACAACTGTTATCCCTGCTCCCATATCTTGGCCTGAGACCCCCTTAATTTCAAAATTATAATAATTCAGAGTAAGGGGGTTCACATTTTCCATTTCAGGGGAGGCTCCTGCCTTCCTTAGCAGATACCTGTTTTTTCAAACCCGGGCACACCAGGACAGAATGTCACCTCCAGACCCAGATCCTTCATCCCACCCTTCACCTTAGAATGCTGAGGCCTTTTCTGGGTTGTTGGGGTAGAAAATTCGACTCTTCAGGTGTTTGTTCCACCCTCAGAACCCTCTTCCTCCACCTCCTCCTTTTCCTCTTCCTCCTGCCTGCAGGAAATCCTGGAATTCCAGGATAATTTGGGATGCGAAAGGACCTTCAAGACCATTCCCTGCCCAGAGAGCCCCTCTGTCCTTCCTCCTCATCCTCCTTCTCCAGAGGGTTACAGTGAAGGGAAAAATCATGGATTGAGGTAAATCCAGTTTAATAATTGGGAAGAAAAATTAAAATTTTTGGAAAGGGAGGCAAAAAAAAGACCAAAAAGTGAGGAACCACAGCCATGGCACATTCAGGGTCCCCCTGTCCCAACATCCTGGTGGCACCCATGGCTCCGCTGTTGTCCCCTCCCTTGTCTTGTCTTGGTGGCCACAGAGGCCACGGTGACTTTGGAGACCTCAGTGACCTTGGTGGCCTCATGGGGGTGCAAGTGGCTTTGGTGACCGCGGTGACCGCAATGACCACGGTGGTCTTGGCAGCCCTAGTGGCTTAGAAGACCCCGGTGGCCACCGCCAGGGCTGCAGTGGCCAGGAGGAGCCCTCCGAGGTGGGGGAGGTCCCCAGGGATGTTCCTGCCTGGGAAGGAAAAGATGGGGGTCAGAGGGGGTTCAGTGGGACAGGGGAACAGTGCTGGGGGGGGACAGAGGTGACAGGGGAAAGGAGGAGCCCTGAGGGTGGGCCAGGGAGTCAGGGGGGCTATGGAGGGGGTGACAGGGGGTTTTGGGGGGCCATGGGAGGGTACAGGGAGCCAAGGGGTGTCAGAGGGGTCATGGAGTGACATAGGGGACAAGGGGGCCATGAGTGGGGGGCATGGTGACAAGGGGAGCCATGAGGGGTGGCCATGGGAGGATGAGGGGTGACAGGGGGGTACAGGGAGCCAAGGGGTGTCAGAGGGGTCATGGAGTGACATAGGGGACAAGGGGGCCATGAGTGGGGGTTCCCCAGCACTGGGTGTCCCCATCCCCAAACCCTCACAGAGTGTCCCCAGCACCGTGTGTCCCTGTCCCCTCACCCTCACCGAGTGTCCCCAGCTCCGTGTGTCCCTGTCCCCAGCACCGTGTGTCCCTGTCCCCTCACCCTCACCGAGTGTCCCCAGCTCCGTGTGTCCCTGTCCCCAGCACCGTGTGTCCCTGTCCCCTCACCCTCACCGAGTGTCCCCAGCTCCGTGTGTCCCTGTCCCCAGCACCGTGTGTCCCTGTCCCCTCACCCTCACCGAGTGTCCCCAGCTCCGTGTGTCCCTGTCCCCAGCACCGTGTGTCCCTGTCCCCTCACCCTCACCGAGTGTCCCCAGCTCCGTGTGTCCCTGTCCCCAGCACCGTGTGTCCCTGTCCCCTCACCCTCACCGAGTGTCCCCAGCTCCGTGTGTCCCTGTCCCCAGCACCGTGTGTCCCTGTCCCCTCACCCTCACCGAGTGTCCCCAGCTCCGTGTGTCCCTGTCCCCAGCACCGTGTGTCCCTGTCCCCTCACCCTCACCGAGTGTCCCCAGCTCCGTGTGTCCCTGTCCCCAGCACCGTGTGTCCCTGTCCCCTCACCCTCACCGAGTGTCCCCAGCTCCGTGTGTCCCTGTCCCCAGCACCGTGTGTCCCTGTCCCCTCACCCTCACCGAGTGTCCCCAGCTCCGTGTGTCCCTGTCCCCAGCACCGTGTGTCCCTGTCCCCTCACCCTCACCGAGTGTCCCCAGCTCCGTGTGTCCCTGTCCCCAGCACCGTGTGTCCCTGTCCCCTCACCCTCACCGAGTGTCCCCAGCTCCGTGTGTCCCTGTCCCCAGCACCGTGTGTCCCTGTCCCCTCACCCTCACCGAGTGTCCCCAGCACTGGGGGTCCCTGTCCCCATCACTGGATGTCCCTGACCCCTCACCGAATGTCCCCAGCACTGGGTGACCCTGTCCCCAGCCCTGGGTGTCCCTGACCCCTCACCGAGTGTCCCCATCCCCCCAGGCATTGTCCCCCTGTGCTGTCACCTCGCAGCCACTCGCAGTTGTAGTTGCTGAAGGTCCCGGTGGAGCGGAGCTGGATCCGCGCCTTGTCCCCGCTCTTGGTGACGTTGGTGACATCGGTGACCTCGAAGGTCTCGAAGGGCGGGATCAGCACCTCCTCCTCGTGCGGGAAGAAGGAGAATTCCCGGATGGCCACGCCCTGGCAGGTGAGCACCTGGAAGGCCGCGTCCGTGCCGAAGCCCCAGGAGCTCTCGTTGCGCAGCGACGCCGACGCGAAGTGACCGAAGCGCACGGCGTCGCCGCGCCGCGCCGCGAACCGCACCCCGCGCACGCCCCGGAACACGCGGCGGCACCGCGGCCCCTGAGCGTCCCTGAGCGTCCCCAGGGCCTGCGTGGAAAATTTTATTGATTGGCTTTTCGCAAATATTCAAATGAATATTGTATGTGTTACGTCAGAAAGTTGCGTTGTGTTAATTTTCTCAAGCAGTGTGTTAAATATATAATTTTAGGTTATAACATAACGTTAAAATAGAAACTGTGCCATGTAAGAGACTTTTTATAAAGAGAGGACTCGCACTGAGACAGCAGCCACAGGACACCTGAATCTTTCAAAGAAAAAGAATTGATTGCCCCCTTATCAGAAGAAATTAACTTCTTCCCGCCTCGCTCAGCCCTGCAGACACCATCAGGATTCAGAGGAAATTGTTGACACTGACCAGCCAGAATCCTTTGTTTGAATGGAATTCATGCATCATGTATGAGGTGCATGAATATGCAACAGGCTGTTGCTTTTAAGGGTTAATCCTCTGTTAACGGGTGGCTTATGTTGCCCAGGAAGAGATACCTGGACTGTCCCTAACTCTTTGTTTTTATTGTCTCCTACTGTCCTAATCCTAATTGTCCAATTTTTCATTACTCTGGTTATACTGCTATCTTTATAACCATTTTATTACTATTAAACTTTTAATTAATTAATTAAACTTCTAAAACCAAGCGGCTGGCATTTTCCACACCTGGGTCAGCAGGAAGTGCAGCGTCTTGAAGTGGAAGTTGTCCCGGTATTCCCGGCGGGAGCGCCCGGCCGCGCGCACGGCCTCGTTGAACTCGCGGTGCAACGGCACCGGCGCCGTGTAGGCCAGCAGGGCCACGGCCTGGGGTGGGGACAGAGGGGACGCAGGGGACGCAGGGGACAGCCGGACGCGCCACTCGGCCGCGGCCAGAGCCCAGGCCTCGGCGAAGCGACCGCCGCGCCGGAGCTCGGAGCGGTTGAGGGCCGGCAGCTCCGCGGCCATGGCGCGGCCGCAGCCCCGGTACTGGTCATCGAAGGAGTGCCGGGCCATGTCCAGGGCCACCGCCACCACGGGGGTGGCAGCGTCACCGGGGGGGACGGTGGCGGCCGCGGCCATCGCCAGGAGGGTCAGGATCAGCGGGGCCATGGTGGGGGAGGCCATGGGGTGTCCGCAGTGTGGGGACACTGAGGCACACAGGGGACACAAAAGGGCACTGGGGGACACTGAGGGGACACCGAGGGGA